AGATATTAGGTTAATAATTTCAATCGATAAGAATTCAGATTTGGAATTTAAATTTTAGAATATGGGATTTTTCAAAAAAATTTAGCCGTGAATTAAGATAAAAACAAAATAATTTGCAGGTTTCAACATTAAGAATTTAGATTTATACACCATTATAACAATGATGAATACTAAATCATAATAACTTTGCTCTTTCTTTCTGTTTTAGGTTAAGCGGCGAGTCTCCGTTCCAGGGTAGCAGTGAGAGTGAGACCCTGGCGCTGGTCACAGCAGCTCAGTGGGAGTTCGATGACGAGAGCTTTGAGGACATCACAGACGAGGCCAAAGATTTCATCAGCTCACTGCTGAACAAAGACCCAAGGTGATTTTATAACCTTGCAGCCACAAACTCCCCGCAGACGTCATTTGTAGTCACGCAAACTGTTTTTGTAATTATTAGGAAGAGGATGTCCTGTGAGGAGGGCCTTGCCCACCCCTGGATGGAGAAGTTTGCCTCTGGAGACGTCAAGTCTACCAAGAGTCTGTCCAAGGAGAAGATGAAGAAGTTTTTAGCCAGACAAAAGTGGAAGGTAACACTCCCAAACATATCAGCATCTTTTTCTTTGGAAGTAAAAGATTTAATATTTTATATAAAAAAAATGTTTTACAGAAAGCAGGCAAGGCCATGCAAGCCTTGCAGAGAATGGCTCTGTTGTCTAAAAGTGGCAGTTCTGGATCGCTCATAAGCCCTAAAAAGGGTGAGACGATTTTCACTCTTTTATTAGAACATTTTGACCTTCTTGAGTTAAATTGTTTCTTTATTTTTGCTTCCTAGATGAACCTCTGAGCCCCGAGGCGGAGCAGGCTCTGCAGTCTCTGGAGCGTAAGATGCAAGGACCACCCGGGTTTACCCAGACCTTGAARGACCAAACTGTAACTCAGGGATCCTGCGCCCGACTCTCGTGCCACCTGACTGGTATGCATCAACTTTTTACACARAAAACAGGAAATTAAAYCCTCAGACAAACAAGGCTGACTTCAACAGTGAATGCAAAAGTTTTACTCAAAGATCAARCAACAACTTAACTGTGTACTTCAGCCTTTCTGCAGTGGACAATAAGAAATGAAAGTGTTACGTTCACCGTTTAGACCAGAAGATTTTTTATCTTGTAAAATCAGCTCTGTTCAGTTGTCCCAGACCTCATCACCTCTTCTATTTCTTGGCTGCAGGATATCCCGATCCAGAGGTGGTGTGGCTGTGTGGAGACCAACCTGTGGAGGAATCATCCACGGTTCAGATCAAGTATGAGGATGATGGCTGCTGTACTCTCATTTTATCAAAAGTCGTCCCAGAGGACACCAATGTTTACACCTGCAAGGCAACTAATGAACATGGGGAGATGCTCTGCTCAGCTAAACTAACAGTTCTTCATTAGAGTTWATATATGGATGCAAACTAAAACTAATAAATAGGATATTTCTTGGTGCCACTGATGTGTACAGTCATGTTTTGAATGCAAATGAGGACCAAACTGTAAAAATCAAATTGTGGCTGCAGATTTAATTAGACAGCAGCTCGGATAAGTTTTGTTTTATTGTAATATAAACTATTTGTGTGCTGGCTTAAAGGCACAGTGTGTAGGATTTGTTGTTTTCAGCGACATCTAGTGGTTGAGTGGTTGAATCATCCTCCCTGGTCCTCCCCCCACCCCCACCCC